GTGTAGAAAATGTGGGAGCCTCGACGGCTCACAGCCCTGTGGGCCTTCACGGCCTGTTACAGGAATAGCTTTACTTAAGCTCACCGCCTTCTGTGAGCCGATTGTCTAGAAAATGTGGGAGCCTCGACGTCTCACAACCCTGTGGGCTTGCACCGCCTGTTACAGGGATAGATTTACCTTATACGCAATGCTTGTCCGCTCTGCTGCTGAGTCGAGACGACTTGTGGTACAGAGTGGGGGGAAGTGCAATGCTGTTCGCATAGGTGGAGGGAGAAGAGGGCGTGCAGGAGAGGCTTACAAGCCTTAAAAAATAGATTTAGATTTCGCTTTCTTTGAAGGAGGAATTTTCATGGTAGTAATAACTCATGCATCGTTTACTTTCAACTGCCCCCCCTTTCCTCAATTCCATAACATTTTAAGTTCAGTATATTCAGTAGCGTTGTGTCTGTCGGTCTGTCTCTACCTCGGCTGGTACTGAACTTTGTGTGTTAAGTTAGTGTGTGGAATTAATTTCAATCTGGCTTAAACCCTCTTTCCTGTTGACATTAACAATGATCGTGAAGTGCTGTGTTCTATCGCTGCTGTTTCTTGTGATGTTTTACATGAGCTGCTAAAATTTAATATCGTAGAAGAAAAAGTGAAATTCATGTTTAATTTATCTTTTAAAACAATAATAAAACAATCTTTTAATAAATTAATTTGATTTCGTATATAAGATAGGTTTGCGCTGACTGTGACGTGATTCATTTCGCCCAGTGACCGATCAGCTGGCTCAGGCAGTTTGGCAGTGGTTTCTCACCACGGAGCCTATTATTTCAACCTCGGGGACCTTCACGTGAGATCCGTGATGGACTAAGTGGCAGTGAAGGAGGAATTTTATATGACTTTTTCGGTTCTCCCTGCTAATCATATTCTTCTATAACAGTCCAATGCCGTGTGTGATGCCCTTTATCAGGCAGCACAATATCACATTCTTGATCTTTAAGTCTGGGTCTTCATATCTGACCTGACTGGCTCGTTACAGAGCGAGGAAGTTAGTATTTCTAGTTGTCTCTTTGTAAGAAGCTTTATTTTAAAAATAGCATTCGCTAAACCAACGAGAAATACCACTTGAGTAACTATGATTTAATTTTGATTCAGATTGTACTACATCTTGCACACGTTCAATTTACTGTCACGCGAAGGAGTGACTATAGAAGGGGTTTGGATCTAATGTGCACTTATACACACAACTCGTGACTACACCTTACAAATCACTATCACACAGAATAATGTTCTCAATCACAGTCTTCACTTGTCATTGTCTGGTAGCGGTTTCCAAAAGTGGACGTTCCTCTGACCCGGGCTCACGTCCTTGTAGGCTGGCGGTCATCTCAAATCAGCCTCCAAATCTTCAGACGTTTCAGGGCTCTCAAGTAATCAAGTCTGCGACTGCAACTGACGATCAGTCAGTCTGTCTGTCTTGGTGTCGAGCTCCGGCTGGGGCTCATGACCAGATGTTTATTTTTAGATGAAAGTTACTGCCTGTCCATGTGCGACGCCCTCTCTGACGAGAGGTCGGGTCTGTCATTTGTCAGTCATATTCGATAGTATTAGTCCACTGTCGCTATGTACACTTATTTACAATTTAGACTTTTTTTATTGCTAGTGGGGTGGGACTAAGTCCCTTGTACTGCGGCCACTTCTGGCCTATTGTACCAGCCCCAGATGATAGATGAGGGTGATTGTGGAGCAATGGGTGGAATGAAGATTGACAGGGGAAACCGAAGTACTCGGATAAAACCTGCTCCAGCGCCACTTTGTCCACCACAAATCCCACTTGACCAAACCCGGGATCGAACCCGGGCCGCCGCGGTGGGAAGCTAGCGACTAACCGCTTGAGCTATGGCGCGGCATACAGAATTTAGTCTTAATATCTAGTATGTACAATATATACAAGGCCTGTGTCAGTCCAGGCTAGGTACAGCAGATTATGCCCTTTCATATATATACATATATATCCTAGTAGTATTAGCTACCACGGCAGTCTAGTCACTTGAACGGTCTATGCCTGACCGCCGCCAAGTTTACACCTCTTATACTTTCTGTTGGGCCTCGCCTTGTCCGATGTTGCGAACATTCTCATTATCATGATTTTGTATGACTTCTGCTTGTTGCCTGCATAATTTTGTTATATAGTCATAAACGTACGGGATTTTAAATGCCATGTGCATTTTTTTTAATTCGCTTAGTGGGGGTGGAGCCCAACTGGGTCCACTCGGCACGGCGGCCACTGATTGGCCTATTGTACCTGCCCCGGGTGATTATGATGATGGAGAATTTCGTGGAATAAAGATGGGCAGGGGAAACCGAAGTACTTGGAGAAAACATGCCCCAACGCCACTTTGTCCACCACAAATCCCACTTCACCAGACCCGGGATCGAAACTGGGCCGACGCGGTGAGAAGCCAGCGACAAACCGCTTGAGCTATGCCGCGGCCACGTTATTGGTTAGTTAGATAACTTCTGGAGTTCAGTAGCTGAGGCCGGGTAGAGTTCGGGAACCCAGAGGAAGGGGAACGCCCGCCGTTGGAAGCCGCTAACAAGCAATGGCTGTTTAATAGTAGCTTATTTGGCTGTCGTTTCTTAACAACGGATCTATATACAATATTATTAATCTTTTTATCTTGTAAGACTGCAAGGTTGAAAGGCGTGTTTCTTACAGATACAGAAGTTATGAATATTTTAATATACAAAAAATGTTACGTCTACAAAACTCATTAATTAAAATTCACAATTACAGTGCGGTCGCACTTTATGCAAATCTGATATAGAGCGATATAAAAGTTTTAATAAATTCTCGCTTTACGCGCAAAGTTTGAAAATAATGCCAATCCCCCACTACCCAAAAAAAAAGACTTCAAGAATTGCGTATGTTATTCCTTTGTCTTGAATTATTCAAGGTCATCAGGAGTGCATCACTCGAATCATATGCGGCCGTATGTAATGAGTATTCAACAGTACAGGCCAAACATTCCATCTTTCATTTCCCTTATTGGTCGTAACAGTTAACAAATTACAAACTATAATAGAAATAAATTGGCCTCAGCTTGTAGCTAGCCAAGTTCAAGATCACAGATGATTCCCCCAATTTCAAGAATGAAGTTGTGATAATGTGTTACCTGGTCAGGGCTATCACACAACTCAAGACGCGGTGATAGACGAGTATGGAACAATGGTGGAATGATGATTAGCTGGGATAAATCGACGACGCTAGGAGAAAAGACCTACCCCACTGCCAAATTTTCTACCACAAATCTCGTAGACGGTCACCCGGTTTTGAACCAAAAGCCCCACTACGAGAAAGCATCGCTTAACGACGTGAGCTGCGGCCTGGCCTTCATTTACGATGTAATTCGAAACATACAGATTACGTTTCATTTTGTATGCCATTATTAACATGTTACGAGTGCTATAGCGCTAAATAGTTTTCCGTAGTTAATGAACCAAGTCATTTACTCAGAAAATCGTTATTTACGTCCATCGGTTTATATTAAGTTACTGCGAAATTCTTAATTAATTACTTATTGAGATAAACATGTTAATTGGAAAATATTTCTCAGAGTTATAAATCGTCAAGATGAAGACACCAGAATATTATTTAAGGTTTAAGTTACAGGAAAAATTGTAACTTAAGTACCCGAGCAGTGAAGCCTCGTTAATCCCGAGTAATTGGGGGGGGGGGAAGTCATCCGGATTAGTGAAGCAAAATGTAGCCCTAAAACACAAACAAAACTCAGAACACAAATAAATGGGAAATTTAATTATATTTTTTTTGTTGATAGTGGGGTGGGACTAAGTCCCTTGTACTGCGGCCACTTCTGGCCTATTGTACCAGCCCCAGATGATAGGTGAGGGTGATTGTGGAGCAATTGGTGGAATGAAGATTGGCAAGGGAAACCGAAGTACTCGGAGAAAACCTGCCCAGCGCCACTTTGTCCACCACAAATCCCATTTGACCAGACCTGGGATCGAACCCGGGCCGCCGAGGTGGGAAGCCAGGGACTAACCGCTTGAGCCATGGAGCGGCTATATTTAATGATATAAGTAGTGCTCATAAAAATAAATAAAAAAGTCACTGTAGAGCCTTTGTTAAAAATTATTAAAAGATAATACATTTATTCATCGATAGAAGACTCAGATGTTGCACTTCTTTTTGAACGCAATAACGCAGGTTTGAAGAAACTGTCTCAAGTTTTGTCTGAAGAGACAAGTGACTCTTCTGCCTTCCTAAACGCCGTGTATCTTTTAAGGCTCAGTCGGTATAGTGACTAACTACGGGCTGGACGGCCGAGGGGTCGCAGTTCGAGTCCCAGTAGGGTCAAGAATTTTCTCTTCTCCACGTCACCCAGACTGGCTCTGGGGCCCACCCAGCCTCCTATCCACTGGGTACCAAGGGCTCTTTCTTCTGGAGTAAGACGGCCGGGGCGTGAAGCTGACCGATCACCGACTAATACCGAGGTCAATAACACGTGATCCATACCTCCACTCCCCATACGTCTTCATGGCGTAGTGCTTAATTAGTTAAGCACGGGGACAACTTCGCCTTACTTACTTTACTGTGAACAGAATTTTTCATATTTCGATCCGGATTATCTGTAACAGGATTAGCGAGGGTTTGCTGTATGTCTCTTTTTTTTCCACCTAAATCAGACGGGCGATCCCTCTTCTAAGAAAATTATAAATTCCGTATAATTTGCATGATAATTCGCGGATAAACGAACCGCGATGGTATCTAAATGAAGTACGTACGGCATTCTTTAATGTTGTGTTTAGGTGAGTTAAATGCCTGTGTTTGAAGCCACTCCATAAGGAGAACCTAATCAAATCAGAGACAAGGTTACACCTCTATGACGCGCGCGTTCCTGAGTACGGAAGTCATCAAATTAACTTTCGGAGCATGAGACCTTGCAATACGAACCGAAGACATTGCTACCGTCTAGTGAATAAAGAAATTCGTCCTATTGACACCAGACTGCTGGAGTCATCAGGGTCGCGTCTGTTTCGACGTCGATAATTGTGTCGAATTCTAGACGTCGTAATGGTGCAATCAGTTTGACGCAATAATGCCTTGGTCCCGGGAAACCACGTATCATGGAAACAGTTCTCGGAAGAAGAATCGCCTAGCAACGAAATGGTGGATTGTGTACCTCTTCAGCAGTCAAGGTAAAGTAAGTTAGTTATCAAATAAAGACGGATTTTGTGAATATGGTAATGAACTTGAATTCGGGTAATGCTTCCAACCACTCAGTTCAGAACCTTTTGCCTTCTCGTCTGCTCTCTGTAAATATAAAAATTAGAATTTATAAAAATAAAATTTTGCCTGTGGTTCTGTATGGGTGTGAAGCTTGTCTCTGACATTAAGGGAGGAACATAGACTGAGGATGTTTGGGAACAGGGTGTTGAGGAGAATATTTGACCAAAGAGAGATGAAGTGACAGGAGGTTGGAGAAAACTGCATAATGAGGAGCTTCATAACTTGTACTGTTCTCCAAGTATAATTAGAATGATCAAGTCAAGGAGGATGAGGTGGGCAGGGCATGTAGCACGAATGGGGAGAAAAAGATATTGTGGGAAGGCCAGAAGGAAAGAGACCACTGAGAATAATAAGATGTAGGTGGGTGGACAATATTAAAATGGATCCTAGAGAGATAGGATGGGGTGGTATGGATTGGACTGAGCTGATATTTATTGACAAAAAATGAAGTCACGATGGCTCAGTTAGTACACTGACGGCCTACACGTAGGACGACCTAGTTTCGATTCCCAGCAGGGGTAACATGTTTTCTCTATTCCACAATGCTCAGAACGGCTCTGAGGCCCACTCATCCTCCTATGCAGTAGGTACCAGACCCCTTTCCTCGGAAGTAAAGCGACCGGGGCGTGAATCTCAACACTAAAAACGGAAGTAAATGCCAAAGTTTTGAAAAATTTAAATGTGGAAGCCGGATGGCTGCTTATCCCAACGTTAGCCACCAGAGATGCGGGCTAGTGCGAAGTTGTGTTCCTTTACTCTTCGTTACCATCCACCTTGAGGATTCAGTCAGGTGCTACGAGATAAGTGCAACGCAACGAGATCTCTACCTCTCTCTCGCACGGCGGCCGTCTTTACGTTCGAGAACGCGTTCCGGCCCCCAGAAGGACAGAATCCTAATAAACTTGAAAGCCATTACGGACGTGACGGTGAAGAGAAACATGTACAGTGTTCGTGCTCAGAATCGAAACCGGACCTTTCAATTCACGAGCAGTCACAATACTGGTCCTTGTAATTGGTACTTCTAAATTGACATGATGGCTATTTCTGTTTGTGATGATATGGGTTTGAATCTCGGTTCGTGTTGTTTATTTAATTACCGTGTCAGTACCTGAATATATACAGAGTGTCCCAGAAGGAAAGGTCAATATTCTGGGAGGTCACAGTGTCGGTCATTCTAAGCAAGAAAGTGTATATGCACATGTGCCCTATTCCGAACGGTTTCCGAAATAGTTCTATTTCACTATACAGTACTGTACACTGTACAGACGAGCAACACGCCATGTCCTCACACGAGTTGCACCGAGATAGAGCTATTTCACTGTACAGGACACTGTACAGACGAGCAACACGCCATGTCCTCACACGAGTTGCACCGAGATCACGAGTTGCACCGAGATCACGAGTTGCACCGAGATAGAGCTATTTCACAGTACTGTACACTGTACAGACGAGCAACACGCCATGTTCTCATACGACTTGCACCGAGATAGAGCTATTTCAGTGCACAGTACACGGTACACTGTACACTGTACAGACGAGCAACACGCCATGTCCTCACACGAGTTGCAAAGTGCACTGATGTTAACAGTGGAATTTCTGAAAATGTATTACACTACGTAAACTGTACCAACTGTACAGTGAAATAGCTCTATCTCGGAAACCGTTCGAAACAGGACACGTGTACATATACACTTGATTGCTTACAATGGCCGATACTATGACCTCCCAGACTATTGACCTTTCCTGCTGGGACAACCTGTACAGAACGGAATGACAGGATGATTGGCGAATAGCCCTGATAAATTACAAAGAATTTAGAAGTGGTCATGGCTGATTTCGAGATTATATCCGGAAACATTTCCTTGGAGACCGAGGTGATACACGAAAAACGCTAGAATATCCGTAGTTTCGGCCTACATTCGAGCGGAGAGCCTCCAGAACAGAAGTGCAGAGTATCACCGCTGTGCTCACCCGCTCGACGAATATTTCTGTGCGTGGTTATCACATTTCATCGATTTCCGTCTTCCGAGGAAGATAGCAGTTGAAGATGTATGGGAAATTGGAGGTGTACTCCACGTACTCTTAAACTAGGCACTATGTGGAGATGAGTGATCATGTTCACACCATGGCCGCTTTACCCCCAGAGGTAGGAGCTATCAATACCCATCGGGTATGAGGCTTGTTGACCGATCACGGTAGCCGAGCGGTCTAAGGCATGCACTGTCTTCGCTCGCTCGGAAGCCGGGATTGTGGGTTCGAATCCCACTCAGGGCATGGATGTTTGTGTGCGTTTTTCTGTGTTTGTCTACAGGTAGAGGCCTTGCGACGAGCTGATCACTCGCCCAAGGAGTCCTACCGAATGTTTAAGATCTAGTAAACCGAAGTGAAACGGAGAGTTTCATGGAGGTAGGCCTAGGCCCAAATTGGGGCTGTAGCGCCACAGAAAAAAAAATTGAGGCTTGTTGAGCCCCTGTGTCAGTTTGGTCGATATGAAGAGAAGTATTTTTCTTTGGCGGCAATCGAGCCTTGATTCCTTGATCATCCAGCCCGTAATCTAGTCATTGTACCTACTAAGGCAGACGGGTTACTTGCATATTCAGTACCTTCACTTACTTAAGGAAGAAAAGACGCGCTCTGTAGATTTGTGTTTGTGTGCCTATTGATACGTCCCCTTTTAAGTTTAGAAGGCCGTACTGATTTCAAATATATTCCCTTTTTAAGTTTTTGGCACTGCACATCCCAATATCTTAGATTTCGACATGCGAATATCTGAGGTGGAAACAATACTCTAGCTACGATCCTAGAAATGAGTGTAATGATCCAATTATGCAACTTTTCTTGAGGTTCCGTCTTGTACAATGCGCAAGAAACAAAATGGAGGCTACACGAACTCGGTCCTTGGCTGTAACTACTGAACCGCTGAACTGGACAAGCAATACTGTGTCCGAGGATAGACCACAAACACGTCTACACGCTGACTATTAAATGTATTTTCTATGTCGACAGTTACGAACACAGTGAAGCTGCGAAAATTTGAGGTTATATACGACAGTTTGTAGGAGCCGGGATAGCACAATCCGTACAGTACAACTTTACCCTTTTTATGACAATTTCATCATAGAATTGACGCATATGTAATAAGATGTCAGTAGTAGGAATCATAATAATAATAATAATAATACCGTTACAGTTGTAACGTTTAGGATCCCGAAGCCGAGCCACGCTAGAGTGAAGCTTGCCAATTCATGAATTAAACTTCATTTAATTATTGGATAGCAAATTGTCGTTACTTAACTATAACATTTACGAAACATTTATAGAAGAGGAAACCAGCAAAATAAGGAAGGCATGCTTTACTAAACCAGACACCCTTGTTAGTAAGCGACTGTGTGCTACGTGCTTTACCTATTTTTTCTTAATTCGCTTAGTGGGGGGTTTAAATGTTTTAAATATTTGGGTAGCTTGTTAACAGATGATGGAAGGTGTACTTGTGAAATTAAATCCAGGATTGCCATGGCAAAAGCTGCATTTAGCAAGAAGAAGAATCTTTTTACCAGCAAATTGGACTTAAATTTGAGAAAGAAACTAGTGAAATGCTACATTTGGAGTATCGCTTTGTATGGGGCTGAAACTTGGCCACTTAGGGCAGTAGATTAGAAACACATGGAAAGCTTAGAAATGTGGTGTTGGAGAAGGATGGAGAAGATCAGTTGGACCGATTATGTGAGAAATGAAGAAGTGTTAATTAGAGTCAGTGAGCAGAGGAATATCCTACACGAAATAAGAAAACGGAAGGCTAATTGGATT